GTGAAAGCAAGTGATGAAAAGAGTTTTATTTCTCATTTCTGTTCTAGAAATAGACAAGTAAAAAAAATTTACTTCTGATTTTATTTCCAAACCTATTTCTGGAGTAGAAATTTGTTCCAGAAATAGAAAAATGAAATTGCGTTACCAAACGGATTTCTGTTCCAAATCTGTTCCGGAGAACAAAAAAAATAAAAGAACAGAGAAACATAATGATTATCATGAGCGCCCCTAGTGTTTTCTTTCGAGATAATTCATATAATTGCTCGCAATACCAATAGTATGCGAAAATATCTTGCATAGCACAAATCATAGCACGCGAAATGCCAACAACACTAGAATAGATGACACACAAGAAGTATAGAGTCTCATCCTCTTACCGTGGTTCAAGATTAAAGTTTAGTTTAAATCAAAGTTCATGAATCACGTTAAACAAATTAAAATTTGGAAATGACGATATACGTCGGGTCAAAATCCATGGACAATTCGAGTCATTTTAGCTCAAGAGAAGGTGATTCAGATCACCTCGTAGAACCTTGGAAGGGCCATGATCAATCTCGGCCACATTCGAGCCGACGACGAAGGAGAAGCCCCCCACCGACCAAGAAGAGCGGCGCCGTAATGACCAAATGATGTCGTGTTCCTCGCGGTGCATCTCCAGAACCATCTCGCTCGCGCTCCTCATCATCCTCCACACGCGCATCTCCATCGTTGCCGTCCCCCTCGACAACTGTTCCCACTGACCGACACGCACAAAAGGTCAACCTTTTTTTCCTTGTCGCGCAGGGCCTCCTCACGCGTTCCACGCCCAGCATCCGAGTCGCTAAAAGCGGTACCCGCATTCACGCACTCCATAGCGCCTGCTCACCTTCTCTCTCCTTCTGGGTGTCTCGAGTTTCGACGGGAAAGAGCAGCGAGGGAGCGATGGCGAGCGAGAGTGGAGAGGTAAGGAACAAGCAGGTCACTTAAAATTGTATATTCTGTTTTGTTGGGTATTGTATGCAAGGCTTCTCTAGGATGTCGATTGTGAATGCGTCTCCTTGTGCCGGGCCATATTACCTATAAATATAACTGGCTTCAGATGTACCAAACAGCAGTTTTTTCCTCTCCGAGCGTGTGCACATGCACGGATGAATGTGCATTGACGATGTCCTCCTGTAACTCGTTAAGGGAAGAACTTTAGTGATCCCGGTAACATATTTGAACCCTGAATTTGGACATACAGCTAAACTAGCCCGCCAAATCAACCGTGGTGGCAATGCAAACATTCGGCAAGCTTGAGTCTGTTTAGCATGCCCAGAGTTACATTCTGCATCCTTGAAGGAGAGATCTGAATTCGGAGACATCTGCTTTCGAGCATCTGCGCAAGTTCCACCAAGAGGTCGCATGCTGACGTCGAAACACAAGCACAAGCACCACCCTCTCGAATTTCAAATCAATGTAATGGCATTTTCCATACCATTCTGTATCCGGAATAGCTAATATGAGATTCTTCAAACGATAAGCTAGGCGGTATCAGTGATTAGAAGTGTGCGAGGGTGAGTCCTGAGGCCAACCACTCTATATTCCTATGTAACTCCAGTTGAGAAATATAGGCTCTACACAGTTCGTGGCCAATTAGAGGTTCAAATGACACTGCATTTTCACAAAGCATTCTCAATTACTTCCTCCACAAGAAGAGTACCGAACCGACATGAGAAACGCAAATCAGGTACATGGAGCGGGACGACTGAGGGGAGATACTCTCAGAGTGGACCATCTGGTGTACTTATTTCCCGGGTTTGGTAATAGACATCTCGTTCTCGCCTTTACATGAGTAACCGATCTGGAATCTCTGCTTGTACTATTCCTCTGCTTCAGCACTCAAACTTCTGCTTCGATATTTTACCTGTCGATCGTGCATTCTAAGGCTTCTTACTTCTCATACCAAATTAATGTGAGTTGGTGTCAACTGTCAAGTTAGCTATAATAAGCAAGTCGTCTTTGGATTGTTTGTTATGAATAAATTAACCGACAGGATTGTGTTTAGATTGACTTATACAATAATATGCACTTGCCATGACGTGGAATAAAGACTGATTATGAACACTGATGATGCAGAGTCTTTCCCAAGCTCCGTTGGGCTGGCTTGAACCACTTGTGGACTGGGTCAAACCATGCGCCCTAAGCAAAGGAAGCCTCGGAGACTTGGATTCAGGAGGACTTGCCGTTGCTTAAATCAGCAAACGAGGAATAAAGAAGGAAAGAAAGAGAACTACGAGAGAGAATTTATCTAGGGAACAGAGGCAAAGAGACATAAATGTTCGACAGATCGCGCGGACCAGAAACGAAGATAGCTCATCGTGACTTAGTTGTAGAGGTGATCATAAATCAGATGGTCCAGTGTAGCCCTTCGGGCCTAGTAGGCCTGAACCGCACAATTGTCATGTCAAATTAAATTGCTCATTTTTCGGTTTGGCTTGGCTAGGCCTAGTTAGCTCCGTTCGGACGCAACCAATTGAAAATTTAGTCTTTTCTAATCACGGCTCAGGGACATAAAAAGAACAATTTACCCAATTCATTATGCCAACATAAGTTATGAACTCTCGTGTGCATTGGGCTAATCAGGCACCAATGTTTCGTAAGTATTTTGAAGAGCTCTCTGTTTAGGCTGAACCAATCAGAAAAGGAACACTATGAAACCTAATCCCAAACTCACCAGGACTCGCTTATTGATCCCGGGGTTTTCTTTGCATTTCGTCGTTGCTAAGTTTCGATTTTTTGTGCAAACTTCCACAGAAAGTGTTGTACCACCCAAACACTTGAAAATCAATGGTCATGGTGCATTGCTGCAATACATTATGAGAGAGTCATGATATGGAAACAACCTTGATTATGATAAGCATAAGGATGAAACCAAGTCGAGTCTCTCATGAGCCTTGTACTCGAGTGAAATGTAGCTTTTTTATGGTATTCTTAGAGAGATCTAATAATTGTACAAACAGATCAGTGAAAATTACATAGTATTAGAGCTTAAGTTTGAGCTTGAGCTCAAGCTCGATCTCGATTTTATTCATGAGTTAATGGTAATTGAGTGGAGCTCGAGTATTTGTATTTTCAATCTCTAATCAAGTCGAGTTCGAACATAAATATCAATACTCAAGCGAGTTCAAGTCGAGCTTGAGCACCGAATGTATGACTGTACACCCGCACTTGAAGACCGTCTCTACGACCAATTATTGATCACCCCCCCGCTACTCCCCACGTCGCTAGCCTCTAATGATTTTCGTCTTCTGCATGAATCTTTCGCTTTGACCTTTGTCCATCTGTCTTCTGAATAATCGCCTATAAAACAGAAGAAATCATTCCCATTTCCTCTGGACGTGAATCGTTATGCGAAAGTGCACTTTCACACCATTCTGGGTCGTGTTCATTCTCTCTGCCATACTCGACCCGGCGACAAAAGCAGAGCCTCCATACAGCAAGAAGAGTGGCGTTGTTAACAACGGGGATCGCTCTGGAATACGCCAAAACGTTGTCGTCGTCCCCCACACATCGCTATAGTCATCGTCATCGTCACCCGTCAACTCTTCCCACGTACTCGGACAGACACAAAGCAGAACAAAAAGGGTCCTCTTTTGTCTCGCCATTCAAGGCCTCTGCACCCGCGTTCTCGGCTCAGTCCATAAGAACGGTACGCCATTCGCACACCACAACACCTGCTCGTCTTTCTCTCTTCTGGGTGTTACGCGTTTCGTCCAAAAGGAGTGGCGGAGAGCGATGGCTGGTGGGGATGGCGAGGGAGTGAGGAACAAGCAAGTGATATTCAGGGGCTACGTGAGTGGTTCCCCCGAGGAGACGGACATGGAGGTGCGCGAATCCACCGTGGAATTGCGAGTCCCGGAGGGCTCCAGTGGCGTTCTCGTGAAAAATCTCTACTTGTCCTGCGATCCTTACATGAGGATTCGCATGAGGAAGCTCTATATCCCCGGTTACCGCGATTCCTTCGAACCTGGTTCGGTGAGCAAGCCTAAGTCTTTTCGTGTCAAATTCTTTTCTTTTCCAAAACAGACTATCGAAAAAGAAAAATGGGTCATCCACTCGGCGTCAGCCGGTCTTCCTCGTTGTTGAAACTGGGGGAGGTGCTGAACAAAATGAGCTCCGAATGTCGGATGATGTGGGTTTTGTTGAGTATGATATTGTGTTGAATTTTCGTCCTTTTTTTTATTTTGACCACTTCGCTCTGGGGATTGATTATTTTGTTTCAGGAGAAAGTTGTGGTGTCTCTGCTGGTGATTATGTCAAATTGTGCTGTTCAATATGATTGTAGCGACTCTGTGCTCTATTTCTGTTCATTCTGCCTATCATGGCTAAATCTTTTTTATCTCTGTAAGTGCGATCCAATTGGTGGTGCCTTTGAAATTGTAGAAATGGTTTGCGATGTCGCCCAAAAATTCAGAATATGGATTAAAGAGCTTAGCGTGTCGAAAGAACCTCACTTACGCTATTTGGCATAGAGTTTCACATGTCTTTCGTTTGCACAGCCACATAAATCACGGTGTTAAACGATGTGAGTTGCTTAACCCTTCCATCTATGTGTCAGCATGATGAATGGTGACAGATAGCTTGCACGTGAAATAGGACGATGAGATGTATTCATTAAAAGATAAAATAAACACAGCTCTGGAATAAGCAGAGTTTTGTTTCCATCCTTTAGCATATTGCTTCGGATTCTAATGTATTGCCGTGAATTTCACTTCTATTCCTGCTGAGATGTTAAAATTATGCTGCTCTTCTTCTAGGTTTGTTAGAAGTTATATTAAGTGTTTAGGGAGCTGCATTTGACTTAGCTTACTTCAATATGACTGGAGCTGCAAACTTTTAAATTGAAAGGGTTTCTGGTTATTGCAGCGTATTTGATTATGAAATTCTTTTCATTTCCAATCATCCTTCTTGGGAGTTCAATGTCTATTTGTGTTTGCTAAATGTGTTTCCACTTATATTCTGAAGTATTTAACCCATTGATGCAGCCTATTGCTGGATATGGAGTAGCTAGAGTTTTGGAATCTGGTCATCCAAATTTCCAGAAAGGCGACTTGGTTTGGGGCATCACTGGATGGGAGGAGTATAGTCTAATAACTGTGCCAGAGACTTGCTTTAAGATTGAACACACCGATGTTCCTCTGTCTTACTATACCGGCCTTTTGGGTATGCTCTTTTATCATCTAATGTTAAATGTATGCTCTTTATTCATCAAATGTAATATATCTTTCAATGTTAATGAATAAGGGCAGTTCGATCGTTAAGATACTCTGTTCTGTATCATTCAAGTTTGGATAGCCTCCGGCTATGCAAGAAAAGAGTGTGCTTCCTTTGCATTTTTCTTGTAGGGATCTTCCTTGTTGATGAACCATATGCCCTTGTTGCATTGTCTAAAGTTAGAGCCCTGTAAACTGTCTTTACGCATTGAAAGAAGTGTGTAAATCGATTATTTCTCAATGAAATAGTAGCTTTCCTTGAGGAGTCAATACATTTCTCCCGGGCTTCACCTATGGGCAATAATCGGATCATTTGGGATGTTGCCATAGCATAACACTCCTCTTATGCTTCAGCAAATCTTGTGACTCGTCTAATTTCTACAAATTTAAACTTTCAGGTATGCCAGGCATGACGGCTTATGCCGGGTTTTTTGAGGTATGCTCTCCTAAGAAAGGAGAGACTGTTTTCTTATCGGCAGCATCGGGAGCCGTTGGTCAGCTTGTTGGCCAGTTTGCAAAGTTGTTGGGTTGTTATGTTGTTGGCAGCGCTGGTAGCAAAGAGAAGGTGATTATCTCACATTTGTCGAGTCTTTCCTTGAATAGTAATTGTTTAAGCACAAGTACGCTGGCCCCTCCGTCTCTTTCATGTAGAAAGAAGCAGGTAATTGGGCAAATGTCAATGGTTCACCAAACATATTTGGTTTCACTTTTGTTTCATACTAGAGTTTCTAGACAAGTGTTTGAAATAGAGTGCATGTCCATGTTCTTACAAAACTTAATGGCTTAAATAGGCGTCTAGTACATAGAATTAGATCTAAAAGATCCACTTGAGGTATGATGAGTGCTGCATTTCTCAAATTTGAGAATGCTCAAGAGAGTGATGCAGTTTTGAATGTGTACCCTCATCATTTCGCTCAACATAAATGTTAAAAATACAGTCTTATCAGTCTCTTCCAGGTTTAATCTTAATTAAAGTCTTCTCGTGCTGTTATTTTTGCAAAAAAGGTTGATTTACTGAAGAACAAGTTTGGTTTTGATAATGCTTTCAACTACAAGGAGGAACCGGATCTGGATGCAGCACTGAAAAGGTGAGCCATGTGTATCTTAAGGATGATTGAGCAAATAAATGACTGCTGTACACGATACAAAATATGTACCTGCTCCTGGAGACGACTCGAGTTAACTTTTTCTGCTGTAAATGTTTAGATGCTTCCCTAAAGGTATCGATATCTACTTTGAAAATGTCGGCGGAAAGATGCTTGATGCAGTGCTGCTCAACATGAAACTTAATGGCCGAATTGCGATTTGTGGAATGATCTCACAGTACAACCTCGAGCAGCCTGAAGGTGTACACAACTTGATGAGCCTTATCATGAAGCGGGCTCGAATGGAAGGTTTCATAGTGTCCGATTATTATCATCTCTACCCGAAGTTCCTGGAGACGGTATTGCCTCAGATCAAAGAGGGGAAGATTGTGTACGTGGAAGACATCGCCGAAGGGCTCGAGAATGGTCCGGCTGCTCTTGTTGGGCTGTTCTCTGGTCGCAATGTCGGGAAACAAGTGGTCGTGGTTTCTCGCGAATGAGTCAGCTTTCTGTTCTTCTTCATCGGCATAGTCTCTTTTTGCCTCATGCTTTGGAAAGGAGTTGTTTTCCTTTTGTCTTTGCCCTGCCGTTCTGTCATACGGGAACATAGAGGTGGTTTCTTGGTTTGGTGATGGTGCAAGGGACATTTGAGTGTAAATGTGTCTCTGAGATGTCGATGTAAATGCGTCTTTATGTACCCTGTCATCGGCTATAAATAAAACTGTTTTGAAATACCAAACTGACAGGTTAACGTGGGAACATAAATAAACAAAAAGAGTACAAAAAATAAAATTAAAATTAAAAAGTCGAATATACTTAATTTACGTAGCTCGGTATCGTGCCTAAGCCAAGAGAATAGATTGACGAGATATGCTATCATAATCAGCAAAGATGAGATTACACTATCTTTTTTTTTTTTTTTTTTTGGTATTGAAAGGGGCAAAGCCCAAAAATTACAATAGAACTCGTCTAATGAAACTTGAACCAACCTAATCTCCTAATCTCCTTGAATTTGGACTTCGGTAGGCAAAGGTAAATGGTGATAGATTGGGCAAGCAGTCCGAGCCGAGGGTCGGTAATAGAACGGACAATATGGTCGGAACGAGTGTACTAAGGGTTGGTCATGGTTCGATCGAAAGATTGTCCATGAATTGGCCTAGAGATCGATAGTAGAATGACTCCCCGATCACGCAAGTCGATTAGAGTGATACGACTATGGATTGACCCTTCGACTATAAAGGCCGTTAGTGGGATAGTCCGGGATAGCTATGGATCAGTGTCGTGACGGCATGTGTCGGTCACGAGGTGATACCGTACGGCCATGCATGGGTCACTGATGACCATGAGTTGATTACGGGATACTGGATTCCACGAGGCTACATGACAACCGAAGGTCGACCATGGATCGTCGACACTGGAACGTGGACCGGTCGTGAATCAGCCATAGATCATTGCGTCAAGTCGGGTAGGCCATGGACGAGCCATGTGCCAGGCCACGAGCCTAATGGCTTGGTCGCGAGCCAGGCATTGTGCCAGCCGCGCCGGCCAGGCCTTGTGCCCGGACATGACCGGCCATTGTGCCCATCAACTAGGCCACGGACTGGCTACGTGCCCAGCCGTGTGCCAATCATTGTGCCTAACCTTTGTGCCAGGCAATGTGCCCGTTAGATCCGGCTCTGACCTAGTTCCGTGCTCCAACAAACTTGGCCATGAGCCATGCATGGTGCTCATTTATGTGCCAATGCATGTGTTTAGTCCATAGACCAAGCCCTTGCCCGTGTGGCTTGGCGTTGTGCTCGGCACGCCACTCGTGCAGCCCAGCACCGCGCCTATGCGCTTGGCCACACGCCCGACCATGTGCCCGGCCGTGTGCCCTTGTAGCCCGACAGTGTACCCGGCCCTGCACCCAGCCAAGCCCGATTGCACAGGCCATGCGCTTGGGCAACCCGACCAGCCCAAACTTGCATAGTTGGACTTAGACTTTTGCTTGGATGTGTTTGGTCATATTTGGAGGTTTTCCTACACCAAATCTTGGATCGAACGGGATTAATGAGCATGAATTATTGTGAAAAACCCTCGGAAAAACAAGTTGAATGAATATGATGTGGGGTTAAGAGTTAAGTGTCGTTTAGTCGGTTTTGTCTAGCCCGATTGATCCAAGTTATTTATGAGTAGAACCAGCACTTGTAAAGGACCTAGGATTGGCCTCACGCTTCAAAAATGAAAGGAAACTAGAAGACAAAATTTTGACCAAGTCAAATTTTACTCTAGAAACCACCATTATTAGTGCTTTGCTTAGGTGTCCTCCCTCCATAATTGATAACCAGCTGAGTTGTCTACTGCTACAAATGAAACATGGTGACTCATTGTCACCAATAATAAGCAAAGGACAAAGAAGTAATCGGTCGAGGGGGGGAAGCCACGAGAAACCAAGAGAGGAGAAAGCCACATTAAGAGCACTTAATGGCTTAGATTTGGCAATATCACTTCATCATGCTCTTTTGGCCATTGTTCGTTAATACCCGAGATTTCCAAATTAAGATAATGATGACACTTGACTTTAAGGGCCATTTCATGATGACCTTGTCTCTTTTTCATAACTCAAGCATGGACCATGGACCATTATATATAGAGAAGGCCCCCACTTGATTTGAAAGCCCCACATGCACTCACACACACACACCAACCGGCCATCATCTCTTCCACTTACTTCCTTGCTTTCTTGTTCACGCCCAAAAGGGCCTCACCGACCATCCCCTTCTTTTATTTTCTCTTGTTCGGCCAACTAAGGAGCCCACGCCCAAGAACCGTGCTCAAGCCATACGCTACTTACTTTCTTTGTTTCTCACGTGTTCTTGTTTTATCATTTGAGTAAGTGAATTCCCTAATATCGAGAAAGGAAGATGAGAAACGTTGTAACGTGGTTTGCTTGGATCGTGTTTGATCATTTGGTTGATCGTAGTTGGTTCTTTCTATGGCATGCTTATGTTTCATGTTCAATGTTCACATCTCGAGATAGAAACCAGAACTTGGCTAGTGATGTTCATATATGATAGCTATGCTTCATGTTCTCTAGTTATTTGTTGGCATAAACTTTGCTAATAATTTGTCATCGACGCTGGTGCGATAAGAGCCAACTCATGTTAATGCGATTGATTCATCCTCGCTTGACATTAGTGAGTTTACTTATTGAGTCCCCCGACTCATTCCCCGTTATTTTTCTCTTTTCAGGTCCGTAGAATGGCGTTTCCCCCAACCCGTTTCGGCAACCTCGTAGAAATGCGAGCTGAGTTGCTCACCGTGATCGATGATCGTGAAGGCCGCGCCTACTGTCGGATTACAACTTATGTTCTGGTGGACAAGGGCCTCGAAGAATTGGTCCCCCACACGTATGTGGCGCGATCCCGCTTGTCTAACTGAGACTGGATTGGACCCCTGTGCGGGTTCAACGGCCCTTTTGACGGTATGGGCGGGCCGGCTCCAGGGCATGCCACGGGTGGGGCGTGAGACGACTAAGCGGACGGGTCGCAGGGAGGAGTAGCACATGTGAACGGGAGTGCGAGTAGATGGAGTAGCAGGAGTAGGATTACCCCAAGCCGAAATTTTGTTATCTATAGTCGGCCTTTGCACGGAAGAGCCTTTGGAATAGGCGTGTGAAATATGTATGATGTTTGCAATGGCCCGAGAGACGGGCTTGTTAAAATAAGCACGATCATGTAAATATAACGTGCGATGGTTTGCTCATGTTGTTCTTGTGATTACTCATTTAGATTTGCTTCCGCTTGCGCATTTGAATAAAATGAACGGGTCGTACTAACTTGTTTCCAGAAGTCACGGGCTCGTTCTGGTCATGATCAGTCATCACACATTGATCGTGATTCCGTGTCGGGGCGTGACACTAACGAGTAAGCACATGAGTTACCTTCCCTAAATTATGTAGCATTTTGACATGCTGGAAACACCTTAAAAGTTTTTGAATCTGAGGAATGAGCGTGTCGCCAAAGTTGAGAGCGGGAGATGATCTCTGAAGCAGTGAAATGGCAACTTGCGAGTCCACCTCCACAATAAGTTTAGGTATGCCCAGAGAAATTGTCATTTTAAGACCCAAAAGGATGCTCCATAGTTCTGCTTTGAGCGAAGAGCACACTCCCACAATTTGAGCAAATTTAGCAAGCGAACTGCCTAATTCATTTATCAAAAGCCCACCTACTGAGGCGGATCCCGGGTTACCTTTAGAGGCCCCGTCGAAATTAAGCTTTACCCAACCAGTCGGAGGGGCAGCCCAACCCACAAGCTTATCTCTTTTCTCCCTTTGAGGCGACAATCTATGTTCTGCCAGTTGCGCTGAAGCGATATCTTTCACATGGCCTAGAATCACGCACAAGGGTTCGCTAGTGAGACAAAAATCCTTCTCAAATAATCGTTTATTCCTCTAGTTCCAGAAATGCCAACAAGCAACAGCAAAAATAGGTGACCAGTTATCCTGAACCCTAGTTGATGAACCATATAGGTACAATATCAACCATAAGAGTAGATCTTGGGTGAAGAAGTCACCTCGGAAGCTGGCAGGTAGAATCTTCTGCCAAACTGCCTTTGCATATTTGCAATCTCTGAGAACATGCTTAATTGTCTCTGGATAGTGTGGGCACATAGCGCAACAAGAGTCTATTGTGAGTCTACGTCAAAATCTTTCATCAATAGTGAGCAGGCACTGATGAGAGACCAACCACAAGAAGCTTTTGATTTTTTGTAGCCCATCCCATTTCTATACTAAACTCCAGAGTGGTTAGTCACACTCATTCACAAGTGTTTTTAATTGGGAAATGACACAAATAGTCTCTGAACTTTTAATTTGTTCAATGTTGTCTTTAAACTTTAGTTTAATGTGCAATGTTGTCCCTAATCCTTTAGATTGTTCAATGTGATTCCTGGACTTCTGGTACATGTTCAATTTAGTCCATGAATTATATGAAAATGTTCAATGTTATTCCTAAACTTGAAATAAATGAAGGACAATATTAAATATTTATATATAGTTCAAAGACTAAATTGAATACATACCAAAAGTTCATGGACCATACTGAACAAATTAAAAGTTCGGGAACCACAGTGCATATTAGGATAAAGTTTAGGGACCGCATTGAACAAATTAAAAATTCATGGACTATATTGCATATTGGGCAAAAAATCATGGATCATTTATATCATTATCTCTTTTTAATTCTAAGTTAATATCGAATACACAATAATCAATATGAAGAAACGAATTTTCTCACTCTCAAATTCTCTTAGGTGATGGTTCTCAATGTTTTTTTGGCTCTCTCACAAGTTTCATACATATTAAGCGCACTTACCATGCACACCAAACGAAATGCACTTACTAGTTACTATGCACACCAAACGAAATTCAACAATGGAATAACTATAAGCACTTCTCCTACACCAACTTACACTTCATCTTCAATGAGGGAAAGAAGTCTTGTGGGAAATTATATCAACATAGACTCGATCTTCAATGTGGGAAAGAACTCTTATTTTCCTTTTTGTATCACCCACGATGCCCGTAGGTGCCTTTAAAATCCTGATTTTAACCGATTTCTTCCGAGCTATCTTATTTAAAGTTCATCTCTTGCTGTTATTTTTGCGAAGATAGTTGATTTGCGGAAGAACAAATTTGGTTTCGATGATGCTTTCAATTACGAGGAATATTTTTATACAGTCCAAGGACTAAGTTGATCATATACCAAAAGTCGAGCGATCACATTAAACAAATTAAAAAATTTTGGGCGATATTACACATTGGACTAAAGTTCAAGAATCATAATGAACATACTTAAAATTCATGAACCATATTGCACATTAGGTCAATGTTTAATAACCATTTATGTCATTAATCCTTCTAATAACGGATGAGTCTAGATCAAAACTTTTACGCCAACCCGTTTAAGTTCATCCATCTCATCATTTGTTCTTTCAATCAAGGGTTATAATTTCACCACCCTAATGTGTACGCATAATATTACTCTCGAATCAAGTCAAGGTGCTCAAATCCAAAATACCCTCCCCTCTAATGGGGTCTCTCATCCACCCCTCAGAGAAAATATTAGGTACCTCAGTGATACCAGGTCAGCAAAATATTAGTCCACTTAACGTGCGACACGTGGCTATTTCGGGCCCACATGTCAGATTTCTCTCCCCCTTTGTCTCTCTCCTCTCTCCCCTGCTTCTTCACGACTCCGTTAAAATTTTTGCGGGGGCGAGGGTCGCCCTCGCGGCCTTCGGCGAGGGACCGACCCTCGCTGCCTGAGCAATGGCTAGCCAGATCCAGAAGCTGCGGAGGGAGGGGACGACATCGGATCCGCAAGGGACCTCGAGGATGCAGGAGCTGTGGGAGGGCTCGGGGTTGCGGGTGATGAAGACCGGGGGGGGGGGGGGGCTTGGGCAGGTTCTTGAACCCAGGGGAGCGGCGGACGAGGCGGAGTCCGCGAAGTCGTCGCCGTCGCAACCAGTTCCTTCAAGAAGAACACCCAACAAAAACCCTCTTCAAAACCCAGGACTCTCTCTGTTTTCTCAGCCTCTGCAACGCACCCAAATCCAACAAATTTCTCCTCTTTATCTCTGGGACACACATGGCTGAGAAAAATGGGATTTTGGAAAGTAGTGAAACTCCCAAAGACCAGAAGAATGCCTTCCCTTTCTTCCCCAACTTTGGTTTCAATTTCCCATTTCAATTCCCTGAGAAGGAGCCGAAACCAGTGAAGAAATGAAAAAGAGCAAAATTTTAGCGGAGTCGTGAAGAAGCAGGGGAGAGAGGAGAGAGACAAAGGGGGAGAGAAATCTGACATGTGGGCCCGAAATCACCACGTGTCGTACGTTAAGTGGATTAATATTTTACTGACCTGGTATGTACCTAATATTTTCTCCTGAACGAAGCTCTTTTTTGGAAAAAAAAAAGAAAAAAAAAAAAGAGTGAGGGTGGTTAAGGATATATGGAAAAGGGAAACTGACGATGTGCAGAGCTTACCTCTTAAGAAAGGCATGATTTTAGGATTTTCTTCGAATTCTTTGCTTCCACGTAAAAAGATTCATGAAAGTTCTACTGCAAATCAGAGAATTTTCTAATGATTAGAATTCAATTGACTACTTTCGTGACCTTTTTTTATTTCCCAAGGAATTATTGGAATACTATTCCACCGATGACACTACGGCACACGTAAGCATGCATACAGATGACGCATGGGCACACGTCAGCAACGTATGCATATCTCATCGCCCATCTCCCCCCATACATACCCCGTGCAGTGTTTGGCTACGTTTCCCATCAATCAAATCCAAGAACAAAAAAATCCAAGAAAAAGAAGGGGAGAGAGAGAGAGAGAGAACACAGCTCTAGAGAGAGAATGGAGAAGGTGAACAAGAATGCATCAGTGGAAGTGATGAGCAACAAGCAGGTGATATACAGAGAGCAGGTACGAGGTTCCCTGAAAGAGACCAACTTGGAAGTTAGGACGAGCTCGGAGAGATTGAAGGCCGACGCCGGTTCGGGGGCCATCGCGGTGAAGAACTTGTACCTGGCTTGCGATCCCTACAATTTCAACCTCATCAAGTACTCCACTCAGCTCGGTTCCGTAAGTACCACCATCTCTCTCATTACATTTACTCGATTCATGATGGCGAGAGTAAGTTATGAACTCGCACGAATAAATCGAACTCAAATTTGCGACAAGTACACTCGACAAGTAAAATTCAAAGGGAGCAAACTCTCTCCTACTTGTAAGTTCAATGTCTATTCGCGTTTGCTAAATGTATTGGCACTTATATTCTGAAGTATATAACACAATGGCGCAGCCTGTTCCTGGATATGGAGTAGCTAGAGTTTTGGAATCTGGGCATCCAAATTTCAAGAAAGGCGACTTGGTTTGGGGCATGACTGGATGGGAGGAGTACAGTCTAATTACTGCGCCAGAGACTTGCTTTAAGATCGAACACGCCGATGTTCCTCTGTCTTACTACACCGGCCTTTTGGGTATGCTCTTTAATCATCTGGTTTAATATCTCTTTCAGTGTTAAAGAATAAGGGGAATCAGATTGTTAAGATACTTTGTTCGGTCTATTTCATTCTCAAGTTAGTATGGACAGCCATGACGGCTAATTTCGTGACTCGTCTAATTTCTACAAATCTAAACTTTCCAGGTATGCCAGGCATGACGGCTTATGCTGGGTTTTTCGAGGTATCCTCTCCTAAGAAAGGAGAGACTGTTTTCATATCCTCGGCGGCGGGAGCTGTTGGTCAGCTTGTTGGCCAGTTTGCAAAGTCGTTGGGCTGTTATGTTGTTGGCAGCGCCGGTAGCAAAGAGAAGGTAATCATCTCACATTCGTCTAGTGTTTCCTTGAATAGTAATTGTTTAAGCACTAGTGCGTTGACGACGATCCCCCCCCCCTTCTTCTCTTTCACTCTCTCTCTCTCTCTCTCTCTCTCTCTCTCTCTCTCTCTCTCTCTCTCTCTCTCTTGTTGAAAGAAGTACATAGTCACGTAGATGTTAATGGTTCACCCAACATGTTTGGCATCTGCAATTTTCACTGTTGTTTCATACTAAGTGACTAGACAAGCGTTTGAAATAGAGTGCATGTTCATGTTCTCTTAAAGGCTTAAACAGTCGTCTACTCATATAGAATTAAATCTAAAAAAAGCACTTGAGGTATGATGAGTGCTGTATGTCTCAAATTTGAGAATCCTCAAGAGAGTGATGGCAGTGTTGAATGCATACCCTCATCATTTCACTAAACACAAATGCTAAAAATACAGTCTTAATAATCTCTTCCGGATTTTATCTTGCTTAAAGTTCTCTCTTGCTGTTATGTTCGCCAAAAAGGTTGATTTGCTGAAGAACAAGTTTGGATTCGATGATGCTTTCAACTACAAGGAGGAACTGGATCTGGATGCAGCACTGAAAAGGTGAGCCAGGAATATGGTAACGATGATTGAGCAAGTGACTGATGTACAGAATATAAAATATGCACACATTCTGAAGCCGACTCGAGTTGACTTTTTTCTGTCTTAAATGTTTAGATGCTTCCCCGAGGGGATCGATATCTACTTCGAAAATGTCGGCGGAAAGATGCTTGATGCGGTGCTGCTCAACATGAAACTTCATGGCCGAATCACAGTATGTGGAATGATCTCACAGTACAACCTCGAGCAGCCCGAAGGCGTACACAACTTGCTGAACCTCCTCCTTAAGCGGGTTCGGATGGAAGGTTTCGTAGTGCCCGATTATTATCATCTCTACCCGAAGTTCCTGGAGACGGTATTGCCTCAGATCAAAGAGGGGAAGATTGTGTACGTGGAAGACATCGTCGAAGGGCTCGAGAACGGTCCGGCAGCTCTTGTCGGGGTGTTCTCCGGCCGCAGTGTCGGGAAACAGGTGGTCATGGTTTCTTGCGAATGAGTCAGCTTTCTGTACTTCTTCATCGGCATAATCTTTTTTTTTCTCGTGTTTTCAAAAGGGGTTGTTTTCTGTTTATCTGTGCGTTGCCGTTCTGTCCTGCGAGGTCGTTTGAGTATAGATGCGTCTCTTATAACAAGGGACCAGAACATCTGGTTGGGTTGTTTTCCGGCAGCAATGTTGGCAAACAGGTGCTTGGAGTTTCTCGCGAATGAGTCTAAAATATTATGCTATGTGTTGAAAATATGTCTCGAGTTTAAGCTCAAAGCGAAATCTAAATATTCCGAATTGGATATTTTGCGGATCTCCGAAATCGAGCAAAAGGAAATATTGGAAATTTGTTTTCGTAACATGCAAGAGTCGGCAAGCAAATACGAAAGGAAAGCAAATCATCCAAGGAAAGAAATAATAAAAAAAGGAGATTACGTGAGTCAATTTCCTTGCTGAGTGCATTGAAGAGTCGGTCAAAGAAAGATAGAAAAGAGGAAAGTTGACTTTCGTTGACCGAATCCCACTTGATTATGTTTCCCTCTGCAGTACGCGTAGCGATTTGTTGCACTTCTTCAGACGGTGGATATATGAGCATGTTCATATATATTAGCGAGTTGCTCAGTTGGTCAATAGACAGAAGAAGTCATGAAGCGCCTAATGCGAGTGCTTGGTGTGCCGTGCAAGTGATCCAGAAGCTATTGTGCACGAAGAAGGAAGCGCCGCATTCGTGAGTGCTTGGCGGTGGGTGTTTCCGTGGATTCTCGTTCGTGAATTACATCCAAGAAGAATTAGTGTTCAAGCTTAAATCTTGTGATAAGATTTGTGTATAATTCCTTCGTGAGATTGAAATATTATTTCGTAAGGAATTGGGGCTAAACACTGTGTGAGTTATTGGGTGTAATTGGGGCTTGGGAAACATTGAGAGTGTTTGAGTGACTCGAGTGTGGTTGTAATCTCCGTTGTATCGCTTGATCTATAGTGGAATTCCGTGCTGCTCTCCCCGTGGACGTAGGTCACTACGACCGAACCACGTAAATCTGGTGTCCGATTTATTTTCTTATTCTGTCAATTTTATTGTTCGATCGCTTGGCTTCCGCAACACTATGCCTCTCTAGGATGTCGATGTAAAGGGTCATCGCCTCTCATAAAACTGGTTTGAGGTACCAAATTGTTCTGAATGCCGCGGAAACGTGAACAAATAAACGATTTGAACAAGAAATAAATTGTAGAAATAAATTCTGAAAATAACGAATGTATGTGGTTCAGCGATACATCTACTCCTACGGGAGAGATAGACGGGATGATTCCATTATAATTGGGGAAGATAAAATTACAACCACTTAATCACGGTCACTCATAAGTGTTTTCCAATCCTGAAATGAATCCAAAATCGCAACAATTAATCACAAGAAAAGAAGTTTTCCCACACTATCAACTCTCTTGGACGAGGCTCTCAATACTCTTTGTATCTCGCAAGTTTCGTACGTGTTAAGCAGACTCGCTATGCACACGGTTACGCTTAGAGATATTTAAATATCTTTCGGAGATATTTAGAAGATATTGAGGGTATTTTTAACACATCACACGAAACTTGACAAAAGAATATTTATACGCAATAAATTATGAGACATTAGCTAACATGGACTTTATCTTCAATGAGGAAAAGTGAGTGTTTTGGGAATCTCTCTTGCATTACACACGATCTGTAATGTTCTGAAAATTCGATCCGATTTGGTGATTTTTGGAATGGTAATTTGAATGACAAAATTTAGGAAATTGAAAAAAAAAAAAGGAAAAATTTTGGTGGAAGATTTTCGTGTGGAGACAATCGTTGACTCTCTCTCCTCTCTCTCACTTTTCCCCTTCGTTCGGCAGACCACCCCACGCACTCCCACGAACTCCTCTCTCTCTCTTCCCCTTCCCCGCTAATTCCCCCTTCTTCGCTGACCTCTCCCACGCCTTTGACTCCCTCGCCCACTCCCACCAACTCCCCATCATTTCCCCCACTTCTTCTTCTGCTTCTTCTTTTCTTTCTTCTTCTTCGTTCTTTCTCCTTTCCGCTCGGCTCCTCCATTTTTGCTGCTAACCGCCGGCCTGTCCTCATCGGACCAGCCACCGCCGTTCGCCGCTCCTCTCCGCCATCGAGCCACTGCCACCCCCAACTCCATCTCAGACTGGGTAGCACCGCCCCTGGCCCCCCGGAACCTCCCGTCACTGGCCTGCTTTCCAGCCAAGGCGAGTGCACCTCTCGCCGGTCTCGCCCTCCGTCCGCCTCCGCTGCTTGCCGCCACTGTCCGGCACCCCAAGCCACCACCACCACCAGCTGCCATTACATCCTTAGATTAGCCCCCGATTTGACCCGAGCAGCCCCGAACAACCACCCACAGCTGCTCCTCCGTCGCGCCGTCCACCGCCGTTCTCGCTCGCCGTTCGTCCTACATGCTTGAGTTATGATGCTTATTCTATGAATGGCCGTGTTGATTAGTTGGAGTAGCTAAATGAATTTAATGCCTTAAGGATGAAAATTATGTTTTGAAATGAGGTTCACAAAGTCGATTGACCATTTGCATATGTGACCACTTGGCATTGGTCCGTGGCATTGATGTAACTCATGCATGCATTGGCTAAATGAAAAGATAAGAATTGGCTTGAATGTTCGAGTGCTCGTGTGGTCACATGTTGGAGCCATCTTGCTGGACACCGCTTGACGATGCCTGACTTATCGGGGACTACTGTAGATCGTGCCTGATTTGTCGGATGCCTGACTTATTTGGGACTGCTGTAGATCGCGCCTGATTTGTCGGATGCCTGATTATCCGGGACTGCTGTAGATCGAGCCTGATTTGTCGGATGCCTGATTATCGGGGACTGATGTAGATCGCGCCTGATTTATCGGATGCCTGGTTTATCAGGGTCTGCTGTAGATCGCGCCCGATTCATTAGATGCCTGATTTGTCGAGGTCTGCTGTAGATCGCGCTTGATTTATCAGATGCCTGATTTGTCGAGGTCTGCTGTAGATCGCGCTCGATTTATCGAATGCCTGATTTGTCGAGATCTGCTGTAGATCAAGCTCGATTCATCGGATGCTCGGTCATCCCGGAAAACTGTCATCTCGCTGTGTATCACTTGACGTTGCAGTGGACCTGAGAAGTCATGAGAAATTAAGAAATGGAACACGCATGTTGCATAGTATTCGATTATGGGGTGAATATTGCTAGGTATGGTATGAGACGTGCCCAAGTGATTTTACCTTATAATCGAGACACGCACGAGTATGGACGCATGATGCATGGGAAATCTCTTTATGTGTTCCGACTACGTCTTGTGCTGTGTGCATTGTTATGACATTGTTAACTGATGTTATGTATGACACGTGTGCTAAAGCGAGGTAAGGATGCCTATGGTTGATTAATGACTTGTGTCCAATGCGTGGTCATGTGATTAGGGACCCCTGAGGTGAGTTGGCCTTCTAAACGGGGCTTAGGCCGTTAACTTATTGAGACTTTCGTCTCATTTGTTGTTGTTAACATTTTTCAGGCCCTTAGCATGTTGATGCACCCAATATGGTTCGGGGTGTCTGGAAGCTAGCTTTTTGAGATTGACCTGTTGGTGAAATAGATTGGCCCCAGCCTGGTATCTTTTTGTTGGCTTTTGTGGTAATGCCTGAAGTGGGCTTGTAAAAATGTTCCCATGGGTTAATCAAGTGAATATTAAAAATGGTGTTGTTGTTTAACTGTTGCGAATCGTTTTCCTGTCTATCCTTATTTATTGTAGTTGTTCGGGTGATTATTGTTATCGCTTCCGTATGCGTAATTAAAAGATAAAATGAAGGATCGACGACGAGTCCTGGGACATCGCATCGTGATGACAGTAGTGGGATGTTGTGCATCCGTAGGGTTTGGGGCGTGACACGATCCTATAGCAAAAATCTACTTTGAGTTACAGGTTACCTTGCGATTCAGGTCCTGGGCATGATTTTAAAAGGTTTAAGGAGAGATAGGGGAATGAATTCCCCAGTATGATGGAGGGACCTCTCTAATAAGTTCTCTCCGTATTCCCTCTTTCGGAGAAAGAAAAATATTTGGAGAGAACTTAGGGGGACCTTGGGTGGTGAAGGTAGACACTACGTCAATTTCGACTGGTTACCGCCGGGTAAGGCAGGCAAAGTAACTTCCCGCACCTAGAGTGACAAAGGGGTGTTTCGGCACCTATGAACTTAGTCGCTAACGCGAATCAACCCGCAAGACTAGGACTCCGTAAGCCCGGTTGATGACTTCAAGCCATCCTCAATAAATCTCCACCTTGGCAAGAAGTCCAACTTCATCCTCGTGATTGTCGTCATCCCTGACCCCCTCTGGGCTCTTGTCACAAACACTAACCAAGTCCGACTCATGCTAGAACTTGGTCATTAGTATGTCTCTTTGTTGTGTGCACATTCTCAACAGATGCGGTTCCCCCAACCCATTTCGGCAACCTCGTAGAAATGCGAGCTGAGTTGCTCACCGTGATCGATGATCGTGAA